TGTGTTACAGTAAGAAACCATATTCCTAATAACTTAATGGATGTTAGTTGGTAAAGAAATATCTCCATCTGCTAAATCACTTTAAGCAAGCTTACTACAGTTCAACCAAACAAAAACCCCAAATTCGTCATCATGCAGACCTTCTCACTGACCCCACCCCAACTCATCACAGAATTTCATCCATTTCCTAGGTGATAAGGCAGGAAGTTCAATCACCGCTGTCCTACTCTGTTTGAATGAAAATTCCTGCTTGCCTCAAGCTGGTTTACTTTTGACCTAACCTAGTTTCTTTGAGGACACCAGGTACACTGCTAAGTCACACAGCTGGTTTTTGAGAGCTCATTGGTGTCCCACGGCCTAGGGGTGAGAACACTAGTGAACACTGGTGTGCACGTATGATGTTGTGAGGGCTGAAAAGTTATCCAGCCACTCTGGAAGACAAAAGTCACTACACTGTGCATACCCGATGATACATCTTCCAGGCCTGACTATGTGTGTGTACATATGTACATGTATACACACACACACACACACACACATACACACAACATTTGCTGTTTTAAATATTTTTTGCATGTGGATCTTTTCCCCTCTGTCTTTGATTTCTTTTAGGGAATAAACACACAGGTGTTCTCCAAAGAGGGCAAAGACAGAGTAAAGAACACACATGCACAAAATATTTAAAGCAGCACTTTTGGATGCTGCAAATAAATGGAAATAAAGTGGGTGCCCATCAATTGGGAAGTAACTAAATAAACTATGGTATAAAGACGTAATGGAATCATACTGCATTATAAGAAATGCCAATTATGACAGATTCAGAGAAGCCTGGGAGGATTTGTATGAACTGATGCCTAGTGAAGGGAGCAGAAGCTGAAGAACAATAATGTAAAGAAAACAACTTTGCAAGACTTAAGGACTCTCACTGATGCATTGACCAATCGCAACTCCAGAAAGGGGATTGCGCATCTACATTTTGGCTGAGTGACCAATTGTGGCCTCAGAAGAATGATGACAAGGGCACAGACAAGCAAAATAACAATGTACTACGGGGTTAAATTTAATCTACACTTGACAATTCATAGTTTCATACAGCCATCTTTTCCTTTTTTGTACACAGAAAAGTTCATGTTAATGTTAAGAGTTCAGAATAAAAAAATGAAGAAAAAATTTTTTTTAAAAAAGAAAACTGATGATGAAATGTACCTTCCACGTCTTGGCAGAGGGGAAAAAGACCAGAGATACAGAATGACATCTATTTTCAGTCAAAGCCAATGTGTTGATTTGTTTTGTATAACTCTTACTTATTCTATTTGTTTCAGGGCGAGGAGATATTAGTGAGTAGTGAGAGATTAGAAAAATAAAAAAGAAAGAAAAGTGTAAATGAAATCTTTAAAAAAACACTTAAAAAAAGGAAGAGACTGGCAAACAGAGCAGTTTTGTTATACAAACTGTACATAACAGATGATCACAGCTTCATATACAATCCTCTTTTTTTTCTTTGTTGACTCATTTTTGCTAATGTTTGCAAGTTTATAAGAAACCTTATAATAATAAAGAACAAAAATTAAAATGCCTTGGATTAAAATCAGAACTGGGACATTACCTCTACCACTTACCTAGCTATGTGACCCTTGGCCAGCCAGCCAACCTCTGAACATCTCTGTTTTCTCATCTGTAAAATGGACACAATAATAATGCCTACTTCACAGGGTTCTTATAGGAATTGGGTATGGCAACACGCGTTAAAGATGTAGCCAAGCTATGTCCAAATGGGCTACTAGTGGTAAATGTGGCATAATAGGAGGAACCACAAAGCTCATAACAATACATAACAATAGTTGTTAAATCAGCATGACTTGAAAAGGGAAAAAAAAAACCCTCCCCTATTTAACTTTTATTGGCCCCTAGAAAACCAGCTCTAGAAACAGACAATCACCCGGAGGCACACAGCTAAGACCGAATGCCTCTATCCAAGTAAAGTCCCCCCTTTATGTCTTTTCATCTAAACAGCCCCAGTTCATTCTTTGATACCTTTCTCATTTTATAAGAGCTGAAAGCGAGTTACTGGGAAGGGAAGGGAAGGTCATATAGTCAGCTTACACAGCTGAGCAAGCCTCAAAGGAGGAAAGCAACAGGACAGGCTTGTCATTCAAAACAACTCATTCTGTTACTTACAGAAATGGCATCAAGGAAATGTCCCAGAAAATTGGAGACTATATTTCTTCTTAAAGAACTCCTACATGCAGGCATTCTTTACATACATACATGTTCAGACATGGCCAATGGGTTGATTTGTTTTGCTTGACTTTATTGAGGGAGGGATGAAGGAGAAGGGGCAGGGGGTAAAGGCACTGGAAAGTGACAGTGATTTTTTACAAGCAAAGAACATTGATACAATTTTTTTAAAGATAATTAAAAAAAAAAACCTCTAGGTATCTCAGAGGAAATAGTGTTATGGCTGGAGTCAAGAAGACCTGAGTTCAAATTTGGGGTCAAAAACTTCATAGTTGTGTGACCTTGGGCGAGTCACTTAACCTCTATTTTCCTCAGTTTCCTTAACTGTAAAATGGAAGTAATAATAGTACCTACCTCCCAGGGTGGTTGCGAGGATCAAATGAGATAATATTTGTAAATCACTTAGCACTTATTGTTGTTGTTCAGTTGGATCTGACTCTTTGAGGCCCCAGTTTTGGATTTCTTGGCAAAGATACTGGAGTGGTTTGCCATTTCCTTCTCCAGTTCATTTTACAGATGAGGAAACTAAGGCAGAGTTAAGTGACTGCCCGAGGGTCATACAGCTACTAAGTGTCTGAGGCCAGATTGGAACCCAATAAAATAAGTCTTCCTGACTCCAGGCCCAACACTCTATCCCTTGTGCCATCCAGAGCTGCTCAATTCCTGGCAAATGGGTACTTAATAAATGATTGCTTCTTTCCTTCCACTTGCATAGAATGCTGGGCTTGCAGTAAGAAAGACCTGAGTTGGAATCCTCTCTTAATGACTTACTATCCGTGTGCAACTGAGTAGGTCAGTTTCTCTATGTACAATGGGGATAATAATAGCACCTACCTCCCAAGTTTATTGTGAGGGTCAAATGAGATGATATATGTAAAGCATTCTGCAGATCTGAGACACACTATATAAATACTAGCTATTATTATTAGACCATCTTTTAAAAGTCAGAGATCTCTCTAATTTTCAAGTAATCATATTAATTGTACAAAAGATCAATCAAAACATACCTCAGAAAAAGCATCAAGGAAGCATTTAAAGATACCCAGAAGAGGGGACAAGGCAGTTTAGAAAGGGACAGGCACCCCAGATAGAGCACCAACCCTGAACCTGAGGGGAACCTGAGTTCAAATATGGCCTCAGCCAAAACACATGACACCTACTAGCTGTGTGACCCTGGGCAAGTCATTTAGCCCCGATTGCCTCACTAAAAACAAACAAACAAACAAACAAAAAAGAATCCAAAACCATTTCCTTTTTTTTTTACTGTACTGAATTTTTTTAAACATCATTTTCATTTCCAAATGCATCCCTCCTTTACCAAAGAGCCAACCCTTGTAACAAAGAATCAAAAATGAAAAGAGGAAAATGAAAGAAAAAGAACTCAGTTCAGCAAAACTAACTAATAATTTAACCAGGGCTGACAGTATATGTAATGTGTCACAACCACAGTCCACCACTTCTGCAAAGAAAGGAGAGAGGGACATTCTCTCCTCTCTCTCTCTCTCTCTCTCTCTCTCTCTCTCTCTCTCTCTCTCTCTCTCTCTCTCTCTCTCCCCTCTTTTTGTTTTGTTTTAGGCAATTGGGGTTAAGTGACTTGCCCAGGGTCACACAGCTAGTGTCAAGTGTCTGGTCTGAGTCTGGATTTAAACTCAGGTCCTCCTGACCCCAGGGCCACTACTGCGCCACCTAGCTGCCCCCCTCCTCTCTTCTTCTGAGTCAAACTTTACTCAAAAGCCACAGAAAAGTGTGGAAAATCAAAGAATTTTCCCCAAATTACTATGGACTTGGGACCTTTACATATCAATTTGGTGGCAATTTTAGCATTTTTAAATATTAAGGTATTAAGGAACTAGGTTCAACAAGGAGAAATTCCTAAAGGAGTTAAGCAAGCAAAAAGGTGGGGTTGGAGTTGGGGGAAATCTAGCCCAAGATTTATGCTATAAAATTTAGGGTTGGAAGGGACTTTCTAAGTGATCAAATCCAACTCCTTCATTTTACAGATGAGGAAACTGGGGTTTCAGGGAAATGACTTCTGGAAAGGCACATAGTCTGAAGCCACAAGGTTGGGATTTGAACTCGCGTCCTCTGACTCCCAAATCATCAGATCATAGAGCCACTTAGAGCTGAAAGGACCCTTAAAGGTCACCTAGTCCCCTCATTTTACAGATGAGGAAACTGAGGCGGAGAGAGGTTAAGTGACTTTGCCCAAAATCACACAGGCAGTGTGATGGGGTAGTATTTGAACTCTGGACTCCATGGCCACTAAGCTTCTTCCAGCTCTAAATGTACGCCCCCATAACTACAAAGGGGAAAGCTAGGTGGCGCCACAGTGTACAGAGCACTGGGCCTGGAGTCAGGAAGACTCATCTTCCTGAGTTCAAATCTGGTCTCAGACACTTACCAGCTACGTGACCCTGAGCAAGTCAATTAACAGTTTGCCTCAGTTTCCTCATCTGTAAAATGAGCTGAACAAAGAAATGACAAACCACTCCAAAATCTTTGCCAAGAAAAACCCAAATGATACAACTGAACAACATGACTCCAAATCCAATCCTCTTTCCAATGACCATACTGTCTCTGCTTGTCAAACATGAAATTAACCAGTAATAGCTCAATTGATGATAAAATCTTCTGGTGTGGGTTTTTTTTCCCCCATAACCTGCCCCCTCCACATTTCCAGTCTTCTTGCACCTTAAACCAACCCCCGAGTATTAGACTATTCATTGACCCAATCCTCCTTGCTGATCCAGCAGTACACTCACCCCTGCCTCTGGGTATTCTCATTGGCTGTCCATGCCTGGATCTCTCTCTCTTCTCATCTCCATCTCGCGGCTTCCTTCAAGTCCCAATTAAAATTCCCCCTCCCACAGGAGCCTTTCCCAATCCCCCTTAATTCTGCTGCCCTCTGCCTGTGGATGGCCTCCAATGTATCCCGTCTATGTCGTGTTTGTACATAGCTGTTTGCAAGTTGTATTCCCCATTAGATTGTAAGCTCTTTGAGGGCAGAGACTGTCTTTTACTCTCTGCGTCCCTAACCCTTAGTTCCGTCCCTGACACATAGTTTATAAATGTTCACGGACTTTCCAGCCAGCAAAATACACAAGGAAACAATCTTATCAAGTCTGATTCAATCCTGCAAGACTAGAATAAAAGGTCCCTGAGTAGTACACACAGCTGGTAGGCAGGACTACATCACCAGTCAGTCGATTAGGCCGTGTATGGCTCAGCCAGGTGGGTAGAACAGAACTCAGGAGACTTCCCAGGCGAACTTTATACAGAGAAACTGACACCAAGACCCTGGGGCTCAGGAACAAGTGGGCACTGTTTACAGAGCAAAGGGCAAAGGACTTAACCAAGCCAGCAACGAATGCCAAGGTGGAGGAGGAGGGTGCTGACTGGAGGGCATTTCATGAAGAGGCAAGACGGAAAAAATCCGTCCAGTGGTGACACCCAGAAAGATAGGGGGAGGTCAAGAAAATCAACACATATTACACAGAGGAAGACTTGTTTTTTCCTTTGCCTGTAGAGATCAAGTCATACTTCTCTCTCAAGCTGGGCCCCTCATCTTTTATTCTAAAGCCCTGAATTTCTCGTCTCTGCAGAAGCCTCAGAAGAGAGGAGCTATTTTCGCCCACAGCCAAAATCAGTAACAGCAAATTATACTGCAAACAATAAGAAGGGCGCTTGCTTCACTTGGCTTTAAAGAGCAGGGAAGCAGCCGGTGGGGCCTCTGACTTGACTCGAGCCGAGCTATTAGGGGGCGGCAGCGCCGGAGCGCCCGCGATCCCAAAGCGGGTCCGGTCCGGTCCGGTCCGGCCAGCCCAGGATGTGTCTCTCGCTCACTCCCCGGCTAACGCGAGGAAACTCGAACCCGGGGTATCGACAAAGCGGGGTAGGGGAGGCTGGAGAGAGGGAGGATAGATGTAAAGAGATCCTTGTCATCTTCAGTGTCCCAGTGACACACACGCGCGCACATGCCAACGGCTGGCACCCAGGGCCCTTCCTTGTAAGCTGGGGATCCTCGCCGGCCTTGCAGCCGGGACAAGGGGCGCTTTCGGGCGGACAGGGCTGCCCATCTGGGTCCCTCTTTTTCGGATAGGGTCCAAGCCTTCTTAATCTGGGGTCTGGGGAACTCAAAAAATATTTCATATAATTTCCTTTTCAATGCTGCACATTTTATGGATTTAAAAATCTTAGAGTGAGAAGGGCTCCACGGGCTTCTCCGGACATTTCAGTACTTGGCGAGTACCTGGCACGTAGTAGGTGCTGAATAAATGCTTGTTGACTTGAATTACCGGTTGCCCTGGTGCCTCGCTCCCTCTTTCCAAGCCAGGGTGCAAGTTCTAGTTCAGGCTGGGTTTTCTGAGTTCTCCCCCCGCCCCCCATCTCCACCCCCCAACTCCAAGGAACCGAACGTAGTTGGGACGCGCTGCGGAGAAAGGAGGAAAGGGAGGCGGGGGAGGAGGAAGCAATACTCATTAAACGTAACTATTTCTAGGAACTGCTCGGGCGAGGGAGAAAAGCATCAGCCAGCCGCCGGCCCCCTCCCCCGGCCCGAGCGGGTGGTGGTGGCCGGTCGGGGTCCGGGGTCTGGGTCTGGGTCTGGGTCAGGTCCCGGTGCGTGCGCGCCCCGCTCTCCCCTGGCCGGCCCCCTCGATCGCTGGCCGCGCCAAGCTTACCCGGCTCCTGCAGCGCTGGTGCCGGCCCGGGTCCGAGTAGGTCCGGTCCACTGTGAGCGCCGTGTCGCTCCCTGGCATCCTGGCTCCGGGGGAGGAGGCGGCGGCGGCGGTGGCTGCAGCTCCCCAAGCCCCCCGAGACGCGCTTCGCGGCGCAGGCGCGCCCCCAACTTTTCCTTTCGGCCGACTCGGCCCGAGCTCGGCGCGTCCACCCTGGGCTGGTGCCCCGGGGTCTGGCCAGCGGCAGCTCACCCCGGCTTAACCCTTTGCTGAACTCGGCGGCGCCTCCGCAGGCTGGGTGCGGTAGAGCGGGCGGAGGAAAGCCAGTCTCCTCCCTCTTCCCTCCCCTCCCCGGGGCTCCAGGCTCCCAGTGTCTGGTGCCCCCCCAGAGGGTGCGGAAAGCTCTGCTTTCCCTCTCCTTCTCGCTCTCAGACCCAGTCTCCGGGAAAACTTTTTTTCCTCCCAGGGTTCTCTCTTCTCCTTTAAAAAAAAAAGCGTCTCCTCTTTAGGTGTATTTATATGTGCAGAACATTCGGCCCCTCCCTTCCCCCGCCCCACACCCAATCAGTTGCCAAATCTTGCCTCTTTCCACCTCTCCCCACATCCCTTCGGTTCCATTCTAGTTACCAACTGCCCTAAGCGCTGTCTTCATTCTCTCTCACAGGTTCAATTGTCTCCTTCCTCCTTCAACTCCAAACCACCCCGCCACACAGCTGCCAGAGTCCTCTTTCCAATAACGCACAGGACTAAAAAACTTTTGAGACTCAGGATGACCTCAAGGAGAAAATTCAAATTCCTTAGGCTGGCATTCCAAACCCTCCACAATCTGGCCCCAGTCTACCTTGACACAATGAAGTCTCCCATAAAATATTGTTCCCTACTAGTTGCTAAACAGTTTCTATCCTTTTCTTGCCTCGTCTATAAATCTGCAAGGTCCTCCTCTTCCAAGGACCACCTGTTGAAAATTGTCGGTCCAAGTTCAAATGGCACCCTTCCCTTTCCCTATGCCCTCCTTACTCTTTGCTTTCTTTCTTTTTTTTTGGCTAGGCAATGGGATTAAGTGACTTGTCCAGGGTCACACAGCTATTAAATGTTATGTGTCTGAGGCCGGATTTGAACTAAGGTCCTCCTGACTCCAGGGCCCGTGCTCTATCCACTGCTCTTTTCTTGATATGACTATGTCGGTGCAGGGGAAATCCAATTCTACCAATACTTATTAAGAGATTACTATGTGGATAGAAAGCGCACCCAGGAACCCTGAAGATAGGTATTGCAGCTCTGATTTTTATGGGTTGTGTGACCCTGGTCAAGTCGCCTAACTTTTGGGGACTCAATGATCTAAGAATCTAAATCGAAGATTTAGATGCCAAGGAACATTGGTAAGGGAGGGTTTCCTCACCTGGGAGTTACCCATACCAACGGGACCCTAGGTCCAATCCCCGAGCCTAAGTGCAAAGTACTAGAGATAAAAACACACAAGAGAAAAAATTTGGTTATAGTTAAGTACAGAGATAAGGATTTTCACAAAATAAGTAATTTGGAGAGGAAGACAGTACAAATAGCTGGTTTACAGGAGGCAGAGAGGTAAAAAGGAAAAGATCACTTGTTCTGCAGTCCTAAAACTTGGGTTCAAATTCTACCCCTGATGTTTTACTACCTGTCAGCTTCCCTAGGCCTCAGTTTCCTCATCCAGGAAATGGACTACACTACCTGGACCCTAAAGTGTCTTTCTGATGGGCACTAGGGAGAGGGGGAAATTAAGAATGACCTCATTGAGCTGTGCTTTGTAGGAGGCTAAATTTGAGGCAGGATTCCATTTCAGGCACTGAAGCAAGAGGTGGCATGTCCTGTAAGTAGAACAGTGGCAGGTCAGTTTGACTACACCAAAGGGTGACCGTGAGGGAAAAAATGTGAAATAAGACTGGGGAGGTAAGGAGAGGCCACACTGTACAGGACTTTAATTATTAAGTTAAGTAGATGATCCTAAGCTACTAATTTAGTATCCTAAAGTTGTCAGGAAGTACTGAAATTAAGCCTCATGGCCCTGATTGGAGAATTTAGGGAAAGTGTGATATAAAATAGGCCCACTCCTACAGGAAGCCTTTCTTAATCCCTTTCTCCAGATACTACTGCCTCCCTCCACCCCCTGTTACATGGTATTTCTTTCATATATCTTATATATGTGTAAATTTTCTTCCCTTATAGAATGTGAACTCCTTGAGAACTGGGACTGTCTTGTGCCTTTCTTCTTATCCCCAGGGCATGGTGCCTGGCACATAGTAGGTGCTTAATAAATGTTAGTTGACTATATCTCTAACAGCTAGCATGAGGCTGGCACATAGCAAGTGCTTAATAAATGCTAGTTGACTATATCTCTAACATCTAGCATGAGGCTGGCACATAGTAGGTGCTTAATAAATGCTTACTGAGGGCAGGTAGGTGGCGCAGTGGATAGAGCACTGGTTCTGGAGTCAGGAGGACCTGAGTTCAAATCTGGTCTCAGACCAGACACTTGACCTTGATACTTACTAGCTGTGCAACCCTGGGCAAGTCACTTAACCCCAATCGCCTTGCCAAAAAAATTAATTAATTAATTAATTAAATGCGTACTGATTGGTTCAGTTACTAGGAATTAAGGTTCAGTAGAAAAAACACTGGACTAACTATGGGACCTTAACCACAGCAATGACCTCAGTTTCCTCAGCTGTAAAATCAGGATTATAGTACTGTCCTGACCTACATCACTAAGATGCTGCATGGAAAGCATTTTATAAGCCACACACTATACTACTATAGTGAGCCCACTAAAAGAAATACATCTGTTGGTTAGGAGTAGGAGTAGTAGAGCTGTACTTGGCTGGGAGTCCAAAACCAAGAGAAGATTTTTGAGATTGTTTTAGTTTGAGAGAACTCTTTTCTTGCCTCAGAGCTGCTGGTCATGGGGCTGCCTTTTATATATTTTTAAATATTTTAAGGTACTCTCTCCACTGAGAGACTACAACCCCTCCATACCTTAGTAGAAAGTTTTCTGGAGTTGCAATAGCTGAAAAAATTAATCATTCCGTGACCAGCCTGGCGATGAACTTACCTGGTGAACTTACATGAAATCTGTCACCAGGACTGTACTGAAACTTTTGATGCTAAGTAGGGGACACACACACACACACACACACACACACACACACGCAGAGTCAGTCAGTCAGTCAGTCAGTCATACCACCTAAAAATCACCATAAGACAATGGGCAGAGTTGATTGCCATCTGGCACTCAGAGGAGAAGTTGTACCAGATGGAAGAGAACTTCTAGCACCTTTGATTGGAGAAAAACAATACTCTGTTAGTC